GAGCAGCTCCGCCCCAGCGCTTTGGTTCCGAGCGAGGCACTGTTCGACCAGGCACTCGCGCCGGACCTGGGCGCTCCGGGACGGCTGGAACGTTCTCAGAGGTCTTCGGGACCGCACGACTCTCGGGGACCCGCCCACCTGGGGTGGACCAGCATAGCGCTCGGGGTCCCTGGCCTTTAGTGCTGGAGGCTGGGCCGCAGCCTGGGAAAGGCCCGGGCTCCCACCGCCTCGTGCCCCTTCCTGGGACAGTCTGGCGGCCTCGTAGACCTGGAGCGCGGGCCTACGGCCCTCCTGGCTTAGATGCCGCCCAGCCCCAGCACGCCTTGCTGGTTCTCTTTCCATGTGGGCGTGCCCTAGCTTGCCAACTAGACTCAGCGCACCGAGCGAGGCTGGGGCCGGGTCCTGCCTCCACCCTCATCGCCCACAGTGCCCGCCACCCGTGCCTGTCGCGGGGCCGTAAAAGCCCCGTGCCGGCGGCCTGGTTCACCTGGCCGGACGCTGTCGGCCCGTGGCCAGGGCTCCGTGGCGGAGTGCCGACCGCCTTGCCAGGCACGGGTAGGGAGGAGGGCGGGGTAAGAAGAGAAACCAGGTGGGCAGGAGCGCGGGAGGGCGCAGAGGCTGGGAGGCAGTGAAAATGCCTGTCCCGCCCGCCCTGCGCGCCGGTCTCGGTGGCAGTGGACGCAAAGCACGTTGCGGGCGGCGAAGGCCCCTCGGCATGGTCTGGAAGGGCCCGGGGCCCGCTGTGGCCGCACGTCTTTGCGCCCGGGCTCCCCGTGCTCTCAGGTGAACAGAGGCGCATCACTGGACCACAGGCCGGTGTCCGAGCCGGGACCGCGGGCCCGGGGGGCTCCGAGGAGGCCGGACGCCCTGTGTGAGGAGAGGCTCATGGTGGGGGGGGGGCAGCAAGGTGGGGACTTGAGCTTGGGGCTTCCTGGCCTGCTGCATCTACTTCTTCCTGGGGAACGAGGGGCTGCGCTGGGCTCCTCCTCCACCCTCCCACCTGCGCCTCTCTTCTCCCCTCCGTCCCCGGGCCGCACTCCCCTGCTTCGGGGAGAGCAAAAGCATCCGAGTAGGGCGCAGTTTGGAAGAACCCGTCCTCAGCACTGCCTGTGTTCAAAGGGCGCTTAATCGGGAGAGCCCAGGGCCAGAATCTGTGGCTTGGGGAAGAGGCTTGGCTGGGGGCTGGGGGCTGGGGGCTGGGAGGTAGGGATGGGAGGGGGTCAAGTTCTGGCCGCGGAGTTTAAGCTCCTGATTCAAAGAGGCGCCTTCTCGCCTGGCTTCCCCCATGAACGCATCTTGCCTACAAGGAGTTTCTTGTCACTTGCCTGCACGTCCTTCTCCTCTGGGCCATTAAGAATCCCAGTGATCGCCTGTGAAACCCTTTGTCTGGGGTCCGAGGCTGAGTAAGCCACACTACTCCCGTCCAGCCCCAGCCCCAGCCCCCACGTCGCGGCGCCAGCAGGCTCGGTGCGCAGGCCGTGGGTGGCGCCTTCCCAGCAGCGAGCTCCGCATTTCGTCCTGGATCAGGAGGACGCTTAGCAAATCACTCTCCTTTCTTCACTGGGATCGGGACTGATTGTCGTAGGATGAGAAGCCAAGCACTTTGTACACAAAGCACGGTGGTCAAAAGCAGGGGTTGTGAGACGGAGGGATTTCACAGGTTAATCAAATTAATAAAATAAAACTGGGTCTTAACACAGGGCCAACAACTTTTTTAAAAAGATTTTATTTACTTATTTGACAGAGAAAGAGAGAGCACAAGCTGGGGGAGAGCTGCAGAGGCAGAGGGAGAGCAGGGAGCCTGACAGCGACCACACAGGGCTCGATCCCAGGGCCCCAGGATTATACCCTGAGCCCGAGGCAGACGCTTAACCGACTGAACCACCCAGGCGCCCCAGGGCCCACAACTTTTGATTTCACCATTTAGAAGAACACTTTATACTACTACTACTACTACTAGAAAAACGATCTGACCATTGTAAAGACAGCTGTGATGCTGTTCTCAGTCTTCACACGAATCGTCTGATCCGATCCTCCTACGAACCCCTCCCTATTCCACAGGCACTGTGATCCCCACTGTGTAGACAAGGAAACTAAGAAATGTGAAGTACGCTGTTCCTGGGCCTAGGCTGATAACCATTACGTTGGAAGCTCATCCTTGATTCACAAAAGACAGCTCTGAAAACAGTCAAGCCACAAGGGAGGTCCGAACCTCACAATGTGGGCCTGGAGAAGTAAGAAGTTCCATCGTGAGGCCAGTGGCCTTGGGTTTAACACCCTTGGTGCCTCAGTGGGTTCCCCTGTACAGCAAGTACTGCCGGCCTCCAGGCTGCCGGGAGGAGGGGGGCTCACACACGCAGCCCTGCACACGGCCGGCTGCCGGGAGGAGGGGGGCTCACGCGCGCGGCCCTGCACACGGCCGGCTGCCGGGAGGAGGGGGGCTCACACGCGCGCGGCCCTGCACACGGCCGGCTGCCGGGAGGAGGGGGGCTCACGCGCGCGGCCCTGCACACGGCCGGCTGCCGGGAGGAGGGGGGCTCACGCGCGCGCGGCCCTGCACACGGCCGGCTGCCGGGAGGAGGGGGGCTCACGCGCGCAGCCCTGCACACGGTGGCCAGCACAGAGAAGGGATTCCTGTGGCCTGCCATGCGTGCTCCTCCTGGCACAGCCCTGCGGCGCCCCCCTTCCCCCCCGCCCCCCGGCTGGGAAGAAGCCACCAACACCACAGGGTGGAGGTCACACCGTGGCTGGAACTGACTGACAGAAGCCGGCGGACACGCAGGGCTTTGCTTCCCATTGGTGGGAATGGGTGTTGCCCTGGAAGCACGTGTAAACATTCTGTCTGGCGGCGTGGGGCGGGGCGGCCGCGAGTCTGAGGCCCATACTGTTCCAAACAAGGATCCGCTCACTCAGGTGCCCGGGGTGGGGGTGTGGGTGGGGGTGGGGGGGTGTTTGTGAAGGGGGGGCGCCGCAAAGAGGCCTCGCGCAGTCGTCACCCCCCCCCCGCTTGACCACACCCCCGGCCCTTCCCACCCGCGCCGCGCATCTGGCCTCTCTAGGAAGGGGAGCCAAAACACTAGGACAGGCCAGTCGGAGGGACGCTTACGAAGGATTTGTGCCCTTGGACGAGCGAGGGCGCAATGGGAGCTGCTTGCCGAGCCCCGCTCCCCTTTCCTTCTCCTGCCGGAATACAGGGCTCCCAGGGAAGGTCTTAAGGAGGTCCTTCCACGGATGAGACCCCTGCCTCTTCTGCCTGGTTTTTTGTTTTGTTTTTATTTATTTATTCATTTGAGACACAGAGATACAGAGAGAGAGAAAGCATGAGCGGGGGGGGGGGGGGGGAGACAGAGGGAGAGGGAGAAGCAGGTTCCCCGCGGAGCCAGGAGCCCGAGGTGGGGCTCGATCCCAGGACCCTGGAATCATGACCTGAGCTGAAGACAGACGCTTAAAGGCTGAGCCACCCAGGTGCCCCTCTTTCTTTTTTCTTTTTTCTTTTTTTTTTTTTTTAAAGATTCTATTTATTTGACAGAGAGAGACACAGTGAGAGAGGGAACACAAGCAGGGGGAGTGGAAGAGGGAGAAGCAGGCTTCCCACCGAGCAGGGAGCCCGATGTGGGACTCGATCCCAGGACCCTGGGATCATGACCTGAGCCGAAGGCAGACGCTTAACGACTGAGCCACCCAGGCACCCAGGGTGACTCTTCTTGAAGGAGGCTCACAGAAAGCAAGTGAGCACATTCTGGACTTCAGATGGGAGTGTGAGAACAGGGCCCCACAACTCTTTGTGAGTCCTGGAGGGAGGAGAGTGCGGTAGTTGAGTGCACCCGCTGTGGAGCCAGTCTGGCCATGAACTTGGCTTCCTCCTTTCACATGGTAACAAGAGTCTCTCTGAGGGGCGCCTGGGTGGCTCAGTCATTGAGTGTCTGCCTTCCGCTCGGGTCGTGATCCCAGGGTCCTGGGATGGAGCCCCGCATCGGGCTCCCTGCTTGGCAGGAAGCCTGCTTCTCCCTCTCCCACTCCCCCTGCTTGGGTTCCTTCTCTCGCTGTGTCTCTCTCTGTCAAATAAATAAATAAATAAAATCTTTAAAAAAAACAAAAACAAGAGTCTCTCTGTGACCCAGGGTCTCAGCAGGAAACCTGGCATACTAAGAGCAGGGTAGGTAGAGAAGGGTTAAGCAAAGGGAGTGTTTACGGAGGTGTGGGCAGACAGGAGGGCAACAAGGGCAAGTGCGGCTCCCCCGGGGCTAGAACAGTGGGGCCACAGGGCTAAGGGGAGAGCATAACTGCCGTTAAGGGGCTGAGAAGTGAGACCCTTGCCCTGGGACAAGCGGGGCCGCTCCAGCCACAGGGGACCCTGCAGGGGGACCACTCCCCAGGGAACATATCACTTGCCCTCATTCTCCTTCCTCAGCCTTGTCTCCGCATTGTGTGGAACCTCCTGGAAGCCAGAGGGCATGGGAGAGCCCACTGATGCAGTCCAGTCAGGTCAGCCTTCCAAGGGAGAGAGCAGGGGAGACGGGGAGGAGTGGATCTGAAAGGGCAAACGGAAGGTGTCTGGTGCACGATCTCATGGGGCAGGGGTGAGTTAAAGGAAACAAGGCACATTAAACACCCCAAAATTGGGAGTTGCTATTTATAGAAAAACAACGAGCTCCCTTTGGAGAGAGATACCCACTTTGATACAGCACCCCCCACGTAAGGATTGCCCGCAGGGATGCGTAACTGTGCCAGAAGTGATTTCTCATAAGTGAAGAGACTTAAGTAGTAGCTGGGAAAGACAGAGAATCCAAGACTCAAGAGGAAAAGACGGAAAATGTGCAGAGTCCTAGCGCTGGGATGAATCCCGTTCACAGCCTGAATAACTATTAAATTTCACAGTCTCAATAGATGTTAAAAACATTTGGAAAATTTCAGCGATCATTTATGATAAACCTCTTACTAAAACAGGAGCAAACAGTTTCCTGATGTGATAAATCTCTCACCATAAACCAGCATCACACTTTACGATGGAACAGCAGAAAGCACACCCACTGAAGTCAGACACAAAAGGATGCACATTATCTTCACTTTCACTGAACATTTCTCCAGAAGTGTTAACCAAAGCAAATACTATGGAACTATATATTTTAGGAAAAAAGATGGTAAGAAAATGATAGTTTCTGGCAGATGATAAAATTTGTACACCTGGAGAATCCAAAAGAAAAACTGAAAATCCACCCCCTTCTATGCTGTATTGCCTCTGATGATTTTTAATTCACTTTATCTTTTTTTAAGATTTATTTATTTATTTTAGAGAGAGCACGAGCAGGGGGAGGGACAGAGGAAGAAGGAGAGAATCTCAAGCAGACTCCCCACTGAGCACAGAGCTCAACACAGGGCTTGATCCCACAACCCTGAGATCACGACCTGAGCCAAAATCAAGAGTCGGATGTTTAACTGACTGAGCTACAGGCGCCCCAGGGCACATAGTTCTTTAAAGTGAGTTAAAATTGGGGTGCCTGGGTGGCTCAGTCAGTTAAGCATCCGACTCTTGCTTTTGGCTCAGATCGTGATCTCAAGGTCGTGGGATCGAGCCCTGCGTCGGGCTCCATGCTCAGTGGGGAGTCTGCTCTTTCTCTCTTCCTCTGTCACTCCCCCTGCTCGTGCGTGCATTCTCTCTTTGTCTCTCAAATAAAATAAATAAAATCTTAAAAAAAAAAAAAAGAGAGCCATGTGCCTTCAGTTGCCTAAGCAGGGATTGAGGTCCTATTCAAGACTCAACTAGAAATCAATATTGTTAGAACTCCAAAGAAGTTAGGACTCATTCTACTACATCTTGATTAAACTGTTCATGGTTATAAGAATCTGAAAATCCTTGGTTTTCAGGAAAAATAGATCTCTGAAGCTAGGCACAATGGATAAAGCGTAAGGCCTCAGTCCTATCCCCACCCTTAAGCCCCTGTTGCCCCCTGGAGGCAACAACCATTTCCTTTGTCTTGTTATCCTTCAAGCGGTGGTCTGAACTTAGATGAGTGTGTAGCCACATGCGCAAGAGATAACTTCTTGAGTTTCTTTTTCCAGGCAAAAGAAAATGGATGGGACCGAAGATTTCAAAATCCAGAAGATGGATGTGGATCCAAGTCCTACAAGCCAGGAGACAGACACAGAAGAAGACAATGGCAATCTGAATGAACTAGCATTAGCGGTGGTGAAGAGTGCTGTCAGTGCTGCGGTTAAGACTGTGGCAGGTAGGGCGCCTGGGTGGCTCAGTTGGTTGAGCGACTGCCTTCGGCTCAGGTCATGATCCTGGAGTCCCTGGATCGAGTCCCGCATCGGGCTCCCTGCTCAGCGGGGGGTCTGCTTCTCCCTCTGACCCTCCTCCCTCTCATGCTCTCTCTCATTCTCTCTCTCTCAAATAAATAAATAAATCTTTAAAAAAAAAGAAAACTATATTCTAAAAAAAAAAAAAAAGACTGTGGCAGGTAGTAATCCTGCTTGCAGGTGTGAAGGACTAGCCCATTAAACAACGCCACACTACCAGGCAACTAACAAATTCTCACCTTTTTTTTTTTTTTTTTTTGCAGAAGAAGAAAAGCCCATCAAAAATATCAAATGGGTCACACACGGTGAATTCACAGCAGAAAGGGGCCGTAAGCAAATTGAGGAGTTCATTCTGGTAAGTTAGTTGACCACTCCAGATTGGTGTACAAGGGCGAGGAACAATGAAAAGTTTAAAACCCGGAAACCCTGGGTGATTTCAAAGGTGACTAAGTAAACATTGTCCCCACCTGGGTTCCACATTCACCATGGTATGGTTCGACGGTGAAAGGCACAATCGTATTTCCTGGTTTGTATCATCCTAACCTTACATCTCCCTCGGAAAATCTGATACTCCCAGTTAAGCCATTTTCCCATGCTGGTGCTCTAAGTGGGGGCCTAGTGGCCAAAGGAGGGAGCTACTGTTCCAAAACGGGAATTCTCCATCACCAACTTTAGAAATCTCATATGAACAGAGGGGATGCCAATGGATCTTTCTGATTTGGTTTTGGAACATAATGTCCACACATTATGATGTGCAGGCCTGTGAATTCCTCTCCCTTTTCTGCCTGTGCCTGGCTCTGACCCATTTGTGTGGCTTATCCTGGCAGCTTTGGAGAGAAGGCCCTGGGTTGCTTTGCATAACTGGCGAGGTGGATTAAGAAATGGCCTGAAATCCCCACTCACTGTATTTCCTCAGAAGAGAGATGAGTTGAAAAAAAGGGGGGGGGGGCGCCTGGGTGGCTCAGTCGGTTGAGCGTCTTCCTTCGGCTCAGGTCATGATCCTGGAGTCCTGGGATGGAGCCCTGCGTCGGGCTCCCTGCTTGGTGGGGAGCCTGCTTCTCCCTCTCCCTCTGCTGCTCCCCCTGCTTGTACTCTCTCTCTCTTTCTCAAATAAAGAAAATCTTTAAAAAAAAAAAAAAAAAAAGAAGAGAGATGAGTTGAAACAGGTGGAGGCAAACTCCCCACCCCTCGGAGAAGCTTCCTGCTGTCTGTTTCTCTGGCCAGCCCATCACAGTCTACAGCCCCAAGGGCAGTTTCCTAGGCCCTAGGAAGGCCCCATCGGGTGGCAGTGAGGTGGCTCCACACCCTCTCATACCCCAGCAGGCACATTTCAATGACAAGGGGTCTCTAGAGCACAATGATGATGAATGGCTCAAAGTACTACTTACTCTTGGACCTTCTTGCTCTGGAGAACGTCTCCCTTTGGAGTTGGGCAAAAGCCTCTGCCTACTGCACCCAGGGTCTGTGAATCAGACTGGAATGGGACACAGAACAAGCAGAAAAATTTCCCCCAACAATGCCACCAGTTATTCTGAATAAAAGGCAAAAGTCAGTCCTGACAAGGGGCTGCAGAGCTTGAAGTGATCTGAGTCCCCTCCTCCCTCCCAACTTATCGCTCAGGGTCATCACCTTCTACCTTCTCCCCTTTCACCGTCCTTGCCGCAGCCACACCTGTCTCCTTCCCGTTCAACTGCCAGGCATGCTCCTGCCTCAGGGCCTTGGCACATGCAGGGCTGTCTGCCTGGAACCCTCTCCCCTGCAATCTGTTCCGATCTGTTCTCATGGGTCGGGCCTTACCTCTCTTGAGTTCTTTGTTAACATGCCGCCTGTTCACTCACTCTGAGAATGACCTGAAGACTAGTAGAAGAGCTCTTCCACAGCTAAAGATATAAAGAAAAAGCCATATTAAGCAGGGGAGCCGGGAGGAGACAAAGTTGGGAACTAAACCCCTGCATGGCGACCCACACATGGGAGCGCAATCACAGGCACGCAGGCACTCCCTGAGAAGCGGGAGGTTCAAGCCCCACCTCTGGGCACCACCCACCTTGGAGACTGCGCCAGGAAGATGAAACCCACCCCCCAACATGTGGCCTTGAAAATCTGCAGCATTTCATCCCAGGAGCTTGGAAAATCAGGGGAGGGCCAGAGTGTTACAGGGAACCAAGACTCTGCTCTTAAAGAGCCCACACCCTATCACACTCTCTCGGAGCCCAAGCCCAGAGGTAGTAGTTTGAAAGGTGCCTGGACTATATGTGATGGGGATTGATCAGCTACTTTTAGGGTTTTGTGCCAAAGGGGCAGGGATCTGTAGGAACTTTCTCTGGGAACAAAGGTCCTGGTGGATACCAGTTCTGATATTCTCCATCCACCTTGCTAGGACTACTGACCCTGCCCTGGCAGGTGGCCCGCTAAAGCAGCTCCTGGCCCTGCCAGGCAGCCTCATTTGGGACCTGCATCTCCCCAAAGCAATTACCACCCTGCCACAGCTTGTGGGCAGCCTTGGCCAAGACCAGTGTCCCTCCAAAGCAACTCAAGTCCCACCTACCAGCACTCCCACAATAGTCATGAGGAGGCATTGCAGCTGGGGGGAGGGGGGCAAGGGCCAGCCCCACTCACCAGCACCCCCCACAGCAGTCACAGCTGAGCCACACCCCTGGAGTGCCTGGTTCTGGTGATGAGGGGTGATTATACTACTGGGCCCCCCGAACACCTTCTACATAAGGCCACCACTTTCAAGACCAGGAGACGGAGCTGATGTACCTAATACATAGAAACAAACACATAGAGTCAGACCAGATGAGGAGACGGAGGAATAAGAACAAGACAAAACCACAGAAAAAGAACTAAAAATGTGGATAAGCAATTTATCTGATAAAGAGTTCAAAGTAATGGTCATAAAGGTGCTCACAAGAGGACAAGAGTTGGGAGAAGAATGGATGAACTCAGTGAGAACTTCAACAAAGAGACAGAAAATATTTTTACTTTTATTTTTTGAGAGAGAGCTCAAGTGGGGGTAGGGCAGAGGGGGAGGGAAAGAGAATCCCAAGCAGGCTCCCTGCTTAGTGCGGAGCCCCATGCGCGGCTCAGTCTCATGACCCTGAGATCATGACCTGAGCAGAAATCAAGAGTCAGACGCTTAACCAACTGAGCCACCCAGGCGCCCAAGAAAAAGGAATTCTTAAGAAATGAGTAGGATAAGGTACCACTGGAACAACATCAAGCATACCAACATTTGCATTATAGGGGTCCCAGAAAGAAAAGATAGAGAAAGGGGTAGAAAACCTATCTGAAGACATAATAGCTAAAAACTTCCCTAACCTGGGGAAAAAAACAGACACCTGGGTCCAGGGAGCACAGAGAGCCCCAAATAAGAGGAACCCAAGGAGGTCCATGCCAAGACACATAATAACGAAAATGCCAAAAATTAAAGATAAAGAGAGAATCTTAAAAGCGGCAAGAGAATACAAATAGTTACGTATACGAGAACCCCCATAAGGCGATCAGCTGATTTTTCAGCAGAGTTTGCAGGCCAAAAGGAAGTAGCACGACACACTCTGAGTACTGAAAAGAAAAACCTACAACCAAGAATACTCTGTCCAGCAAGGTTATCAATCAGAACTGAAGGAGAGATAGAGTTCTCAAAAAAAAGTTAAAGGAGTTCATCACCACTAAACCAGCATTACAAAAAATGTTAAAGGGACTTGTTTAAGTAGAAAAGGCCATAATTAGAAGACAATTACGAAAGAAAAAATTTCACTGGTAAAAGCAAACATATAGTAAAGGCAATAGATCAATCACTTATAAAGCTAGTATGAAGGTTAAAAGGCAAAAGTAGTAAAATCAATTATAGCTATAACAATTACTTACGAGATACACAAAATAAAAAGATGTAAAATATGATGTCAACTACATAAAATAGGAGGGAATGAAAATGTAGCACTTTTACAATGTGTTCCAAATTAAGTGACCATCAGCTTAAAATACACTGCGATATATACATACTGCATTACAGATGAACCTCCTGGTAACCACAATCCCAAAACCTATAATGGATACACAAAAGACACAGGAATCCAAACATAACATTAAAGAAAGTCATCAAATCACAAGGGAAGAAAGAACAGAGAAGAACTACAAAAACAACCAGAAAACAACTAAACTAATCATAAGTACATGCCTAGCAGTAATTACTTTAAATGTAAATAGACTACATGCTCCAATCATAAGACACAGGCTGACTGAATGGATAAAAAACCAAAACCCATCTCTATGCTGTCTACAAGAGACTCACATCAATCCTCGAGACACATACAGACTGAAAGTGAAGGGATGGGAAAAGATATTCCAAGCAAATGAGAGAAAAAAAAGGAAAACCTGGGTAGCAATACTCATACCAGACAAAATAGACTTAAAAAAAAAAAACAACAAACACCTGTAACCAGAGACAAAGGGCATTATATAATGATAAAGGGGTCAACCCAACAAGAAGATATAAGACTTGTATATTTACATCTATGCACCCAACATAGGAGCACCTAAATATATAAATCAGATATTGACAAATATAAAGGGAGAAAGTGACAGTGATACAATAATAGTAGGGAACTTTAACACCCCACTTACTATCAATAGATCATCCAGACAGAAAACCAATAAGGAAAGTGACTTTGAATGACACATTAGACCAGATGGACTTAACATATATCCAGAACGTTCCATCCCAAAACAGCAGAATACACATTCTTTTCAAGTACACATGGAACATTCTCCAGGACAGATCACATGTTAGGCTAGAAAACAATTCTCAATAAACTTAAGAAGACTGAAATCGTATCAAGCATCTTTTCTTAGCACAATGGTATGAAAATAGAAACCAATTACAAGAAGAAAACTGGAAAAAAACTATAAACACCTGGAGGCTAAACATGATACTAAGCAATCAATGGCTGAACAAAGAAGTCAAAAAGGAAATAAAAAAATACCTTGAGACAAATGAAAATGGAAACACAGTACAAAACCTATGCGATGCTGCAAAAGAAGTTTTAGAGGGAAGTGTTTTTTTTTTAAGATTTATTTATTTAGGGGCGCCTGGGTGGCTCAATCAATTAAGCGTCTGCCTTCGGCTCAGGTCATGATCCCAGAGTCCCAGGATGGAGCCCGGCATCGGGCTCCCTGCTCACCTGGGAGTCAGCTTCCCCCTCTCCCTCTGTCCCTCCCCGCCACTCGTGTGCGCTCTCTCTCTCTCAAATAAATAAATAAAATCGTAAAAAAAAAAGAGATTTATTTATTTGAGGGGGGAGGGGCAGAGGGAGGAGAAAGAAACTTCAGCAGACTCCACGCTAAGGGAAGTTTATA